TTCATCTTTAATATTATCACTAGCCCAGCCAAGTATGGTGGTACACAGTTACTGGAGAGGAAGAAGTGGGAGAATAGCTTGAACCCTGGAGTTTAGGACCAGCTGGGCAACATAGTGAGACCTATCTCTTTAAAAAATCATTAGCCTAGAAGTCTGTTTCACTGGTACCTAAAAGGGAGTCTCATAGTTCCAACTTGGAATCTTGTCTGTCTTCCTGTCTTATTCCTGTGTACTGTAGATAGTATTTATTCTGGAATGTTTGATATGTTACCTTATTTTAGGAGTTGTGGCTGTTTTTACATACCTTGGTTAAGGATTCAAATCCTAGAGTTGTTTTGTTTCTTCTAATCTTTTTGGTTTTCTTTTTTTCTTTTTTTTTTTTTTTTTTGTGATGCCAAGGATTGAATTTAGGACCTCACTCATGCAAACCAAAAAAGTGCTCTACCACTGACCTACATCTCTAGCCCTTTTTATTTTTTATTTTGAGACTGAATCTTGCTAAATTGCCAAGGCTGACCTTGAATTTCTAATCCTCCTGCCTCAGCCTCCCTAGTCACTGATATTCTAGGCATGAGCCACCATGTCCAATTCACTCTTTGGTTATCTTAAAATTGTTTTACTTACTCCTGTCAAGGGAAGAGAATACTTCCAAGTCTGTTTATCTAGTGTCTGACTTTTTTTTTTTTAAATATCTTTTTAGTTGTCAGTGAACCTTTTATTTATTAATTTATTTATATGTGGTGCTGAGAATTGAACCCAGTGCCTCACACATGCTAGGGAAGTGCTCTACCACTGAGCCATAACCCCAGTTCCCAAGTGCCTGATTTTTTATATATAATATTTAAGCACTAGGAAAAAGCTAATATATTTGTTAGCTGTATATCTAAAGTCAAGTTTATTTAACTCACTGAACTTTAATTTCCTCAAAATAGAATTGTTAATAACTATTTCACAGAGAAATATTTCCAGATTAAATGAGAGAAGACACATCTGTCATATTCTGCGTACTCAAATGTTAATAATGATACCATGAAGATTTGAAAAAAGACTAAAGTACGAACACTAAATTCATTTAAATCTGTTATAACATCTGGTATTTTAGAAGATTTAGAGTATTAGCTGTTAATACTTTTTGTTTAGTTATCATCATTAGAGGCAGTATAGCTACTTCTGAGTTTTGGATACCAAGAATGACTTGGACTTGAGCTAGGTGCAGTGGTGCACACCTGTAATCCCTGTGGCTCAGGAGGCTGAGGCAGGAGGATCGAAAGTTCAAAGCCAGCCTCAGCAAGTCCCTAAGCAATTTAGCAAAACCCTGTCTCAAAATTAAAGAATAAAAAGGGCTGGGGATGTTCTTCAGTGGTTAAGTACCCCTGGGTTCAGTTTCTGGTGCAAGTGTGTGTGTGCACACACACAAAGAATGACTTAGACTTGATGTTCCATTATATGCTTGGTTCTTTCGATCCTCCTGCCTCAGCCTCCTGAGCCACAGTTGTTACAGGTGTGCACCACTGCACCTAGCTGAATAAAGTAGGACTAAATACAGCAATAAGTATAGTTCTAGCTTGATATATCTAGTTATTTTCCACAATTCAGGTTTTGTTTTTTGTTTGTTTGCTATCAGGGATTGAAGCCAGGGGTGCTTAACCACTGAGCCATATCCCCAGCCCTTTTTAATATTTTATTAGAGATAGTCTCGATAAGTTGCTTAGGGTCTCACTTAGTTGCTGATGCTGGGTTTGAACTTGTGATCCTCCTGCCTCAGCCTCCAGAATTTCTGGGATTACAGGCATGCAACACCCTCTCCAGCAAACAGTTCAGTTTTTTTTTTTTTTTTTTTTTTTAAAGAGAGAGTGAGAGAGGAGAGAGAGAATTTTTAATATTTATTTTTTAGTTCTCGGCGGACACAACATCTTTGTTGGTATGTGGTGCTGGGGCTCGAACCCGGACCGCACGCATGCTAGGCGAGCGCACTACCACTTGAGCCACATCCCCAGCCCCCAGTTCAATTCTTGAAACTGCTCACATGATATTTGGAAGACTGGAAATAATTACTTCATTCTTTGATTCTGATTGAGGAATTAACTTCAATTTTAAAAGATAATTAAAATAATATTGCTGATTATTTTAAATAAATATATCATAAATAATAGGTGGTAAATTGCCCATCTACTTTTGGTATTGAAATAAACAGTCACTTTGTTATTAATTTTCATAGTAAAAATGTTACTTTTTAATTGCTGATAGCTACAAATTTATGCCATTAATGAATAGAGTATAATGACTCAGCACATTCTTTATGTTTATTGTTACACAAGAAATTAATTCCAAATGGCTCACTTAAAATTGGTGGTTTTAGGGCTGGGGTTGTAGCTCAGTGGTAGAGTGCTCACCTCATACATGGAAGGCACTGGGTTCGAACCTCAGCTTCACGTAAAAATAAAATAAAGGTATCGTGTCCATCTATAACTAAAAAAATATTTTTAAAAATGGGTGGTTTTACCTGGGCATGGTGGTGCACGTCTGTAAGCCCAGAGGCTTGGGAGGCTGAGACAGGAGGATCACAAGTTTACAGCCAGCCTCAGCAATTTAGCAAGGTCCTAAACAACTCAGTGAGACCCTGTCTCTAAATAAAATACAAAATAGGGCTGGGGATGTGGCTCAGTGGTCAAGTGCCCCAGAGTTCAATCCTGGGTACCCCTTCTCAAAAAAAAAAAAAAAAAAAGATGAGGATCTGAGAGCATAGCTCAGTGGTAAAGCAGGTACTTAGCATGTGCTAGGTCCTGGTTCAATCCCTAGTATCCCCCTCCTGTCCCCCCCCACCCCCCCTAAAAAAAAGTCTAAAGAGTTTTAAAGCCCTTTAGGAACTTATGTTTTCACTGTACACACCTATTTCATTAAACAAAAACAGGAAGATGATTTCAAGTAGCAGTTAATTATAGGTCTCCTTATTCTTTACTATTGTACTGATATATTGTTTTCCTTTTTAGACTATTCAGATAGTCTAAACTTTACTACTACTTTGTCAAGATATCGTAAAAATAAAGGAAGTAATATGCTTAACAAAAATGAGAGCTTAAATTAGAATCACTGAATTTTCAGAGCATCATTGAAAAGAGTAACAAATAGGGCCTTCTCTGTGAAGGAGGAGGAGGGAGGGTGAGGAGTGGGCAGCTAGCAAGGGCATAATTAGCCAGACTCGTTCCATCAGCTTACTGAAACCCAAAGCCTATTTTGTTTCCTTTTTTTTCACGTTTTTCCATATTTTTATTGGTGCATTAGAATTGTATATAATGGTGGGATCTGTTGTCATATATTTGTACATGTACAACAATATGATTGTGCCAGTATCACTCCCCAGTATGTCACTGTTTTCTTTCTTTTTTAAAATTTTTTTTTGACAGTAGAATTCACTTTGATACATAATACGTAATGGAGTATAATTTCTCATTCTTCTGGTTACACATGATGTACAATCCCATTGGTCTATAGTTATATATGTACACAGGGTAATAATGTCTGATTCATTCTACTATCCTTCCTACCCCCTCTTTGTTTTCTTTTTGTTTCCTTTTCTTCTTTGCAGTTTTACCAAATAATCTGTTCATGAAGATGAAGAAAAATAGGAAGCTTGGAAACAAGCCTTTTGGAAGCTTGTTTTCTTTCCTTTGTGTTTGACTAAAATCTTGCTTTATTTCTGTGCTTATCCTGTCTTTGCAGTAGGATGTAAGCTCCTATTGGGCAGGAGTCAATCTTTTTTGTTGTAGTTGTATGTTTTTTATATTATTTTTTACCCTGCTTATTACATATTTAAGTCATAAGTCTGCACAATAGGAAGCTTTAAAAAACTAGTTTATTCCTGCAACCTGTGTATTTGATTGAAAAATCCTTCAGAGTCATAGACCATGAGTAGATTCCAGCACTACCTCTTTCAGTAATGTCTGGAAGTTGCAAGTACCTTCTCTGAATATGTTTTCAGTCTCTCACACAGAGATGATATCTGCCACCTCAGGTTGTTACTGGAGATCAGATAACTTACCTGAGGCACATAGTGAAGTTCCTTGTGCATAAGTGTTAACTGCCCCTGGCTCTATTTGGTCTTCTCCTTCCCGATCTCACATCCTTCTCCACTCCCTCCTTAATCTCAATTCCTGCTGTCCACTCCCTCCACATGCCAGGCTGGTCCCATAGACCTCTTTCTGTCGTAGCAGAAAACACATCCTCAGGGCCTTAGTTCTTTCTTTTCTGTCTATTCTTCCCCCAGATGTCTGCATAGCTTGCTTCCTACTCAGATATAAGCTTTTTTTTTTTTTTTTGGCACAGGGGATTTAACCCAGGGGGGTTGTACCACTGAGCCACATCCCCAGCCCTTTTTTGTTATTTATTTTGAGACAGGGTCTCACTGAGTTGTTGGGGGGTGGGGGTATCTCACTAAGTTGCTGAGGATGGCCTTGAACTCATGATCCTCCTCTCAGCCTCCTGTACATTACAAAAGGACACCACTGTGCTGGGCCAGAGATCTTTCCTGACATCTCATTGAAAGCATCATTCTCAGGCTGGGGATGTGTCTCAGTGGTAGAGTGTTTGCCTTGCATGCATGAGGCCCTGGGTTCAATCCTCAGCACCATAAAAAAATAAATTCAATAAAATAGCATTCTCTTCCTAACCTGCCTTTTTCTTTTTGGTGCTGATCAAACACTTATGATATATCATCTGTATCTTCCCACAAAGTCTAAGTCCACATGAACAGGGACTTTATTTTGTTCACTGTCACATGCTAGCACAGAGAACAACATTCAGTATATAGTAGGTACTAAATTTTTTTAACAAATTGCCATCAATAATAATATTTCAGTAATAAGATGCCCTAATAATTTCTCCTTATTAGTAACTTTGGAAATTGCCACTTTTTGCTTAAGGATCATTCAGACCTTATTACAAATGAACAAAGTACTAATTCTTAGTTTTTTTTTTTTTGTGATCATCCCCTCCCCCCCCAGGTTTCAGTGTGGCCCAGAAGCCATTTGGAGCCACATACGTATGGAGCAGCATTATAAATACTCTTCAGACACAAGTGGAAGTAAAAAAACGAAGGCATCATTTAAAAAGACACAATGACTGCTTTGTGGGTTCAGAAGCGGTAGATGTCATTTATTCTCATCTAATTCAGAATAAGTACTTTGGTGATGTAGATATTCCTCGGGCCAAAGTGGTGAGAGTGTGTCAGGCACTTATGGACTATAAAGTATTTGAAGCAGTTCCAACCAAGGTCTTTGGAAAAGACAAAAAACCTACATTTGAAGACAGTAGTTGCAGCCTTTATAGATTCACAACAATACATAACCAAGACAGTCAGATGGGCAAAGAGAACAAAGTATATTCACCTTCCAGGTTGGTATATAATGATGACAGATTATCATGGGAATGTTGGCAGGATTTTGTCTACTTTTTTATGAGAGAGTGACTGACTATATATTACTTTCTTAAGCATAACTTGGCTAAGTATGGATCTGAAGATGTATTTGGTAAAGTACAGTGAAATTTTATTAACTTTGTTTCTGCTAAATATAAAATATTTAAGAGATACCAATAAACAGACTTTGATTTTTCTCAAGTTATAGGTAGTGTTAAAAAAAAAAAAAGTTAAAAATTTTATTTAGAAAGTGGCCTGAGGATTGGAGATGCAACTCAGTGGTAAAGTGCTTGCCTAGCAAATGTAAGGCCCTGTGTTCTATCACTGGCACTGCCACAGTCTGCCTGGGTACAAATAACCGAGCCGCCACAAAGCCTTGTAGATTCAAACAGCAACTCTTTATTCCCCAACTCTCACCTGCACTGCACACACCACGCAGGAACACACTCCCTCCACCCGGCTCCAGGCTCCACCCAGCTCTGTCCAATCTCCCCGAACCCCAAAGTAGCGGGTGCCCAAGGCAGCAAGAGCATCAATAAAGATCAAATATACAATACAATCAGTCCAGCATCACAGCAATTATATATAGCTTAACTCAAATCATCATCTCAATGGTTCCCTGGCATGACCTTTCAACCATTCCCTCTGACAAATGCCAGGTATCATTCTGACTGGGCTGTGGCTCTCAACATGGCACCACACAGAAGAAAAATAAAGATGGTCTGAGAGAGAGCTGGAGTTGTGGCTCAATGGTAGAGCACTTGCCTTGCGTGCATGAGGCGCACTGGGTTTGATACCCTCACCACATAAAAATAAATAAATAAAAAAGTTAAAGGGAAAAATGGTCTGAGAACAGAAGGAAAAGGCGGCAGGGAGACACCCAGGCTGTTAGAATCCAGAATATGGAAGAGGTCAGAGTGAAAGGACATGTGTGAGAGTGCCAAGGCCTCTTGTGACTATTGAGGAATTTGTTGCTTTTTTTTTTTTTTTTTTGGTGGTGGTTGTAGATGGACACAATATCTTTATTTTTATGTGGTGCTGAGGATCAAACCCAATGCCTTTTCCATGCTAGGCAAGAGCTCTACCACTGAGCTACAACCCGAGGCCCTGTTTGTTTGTTCTGGAGACAGGGTCTCACTTGCAGTGTTGCCCAGGCTGGTCTCCAGCTCCTGTGCTCAAGTGATTCTCCTACTTCAAGGATGTGCCACTGTGTCTGGCATATTAAGGAATTTGGATTTGATCATACAGGTGTTGGGGAGGCCACAGAAAGATTTTTAGCACGATGAGTTTATATTTTAGGAAGGCTGGGGATGTAGTTCATTGGTAGAGCACTTGCTTAGCATGAGCAAGATCCTGAGTTTTATTCCCAGCACCAAGCAAAAAAAAAATAAATAAATAAGGAAAAGTGTTCCTGGTAGTTACATGGCAGACTAATAGGGATAGCTAGTTAGGAATTTATTACAGTATTGTAGTCTACAAAATTGAGGGGGGTGTTGAACTAAACAGTATGGGGGAAAGAGAGGTTCATTTAAAGAGAGTGGGCACTGTAGAACCCAGTGGCTGAATACATAATGAACTTAGTTATGAAGTACAACAGTTTTACCTTTCCCTTGTATTCTCAGCTAAACTGTAGAGGTTTCAGTGTAATTTGAAGCTCTCATGATTCAGATCTGACCTAAAGTCAGAATTTGAAAGTTGACGTTCAGATATTTTTTTTTGTCTCTGTATCTAAAACATTATATCGTTTACCTCTGTATACAAAAAGGAAATATGAGGTGGGGCCCCACTTTTTGGATGCAGTCCATATACTTTTTTTGAGACCACTGGGACAGACATGTTTAGGAACTTCGGACATTTTAAAAAAAATTTTTTTTGGGGGGGTTACTGGGGATTGAACTTGGGGCACTAGACCACTGAACCACATCCCCAGCCCTATTTTGTATTTTATTTAGAGACAGGGTCTCACTGAGTTGCTTAGCACCTCACTGTTGCTGAGGTTGGCTTTGACCTCACCATCCACCTGTCTCAGCCTCCCAAACCACTGGGATTACAGGTGTGTGCCTTTGCGCCCATCAATTTTAGGACTTTTTAAAATACATATATAACACCCCTAGAGGGATATGGGACAACAAACAAAGCATATTAATAATTCTGTGGTAAACAAAGGAATGTTCATACTATCTGGGATAAATAAAAGCCATGATAATCTCAAGATAGGGTTTTTTGGTTTACTTTTTATACTGGGGGTTGAGCCAAAAAGTACTCTACCACTGATCTATATCCTTGGTCTTTTTCATTTTTTTGTTTTGAGGCAGGGGCTTACAAAGTTGCTGAAGCTGGCCTTGAACTCGTGATCATCCTGCCTCAGCCTTCTGAGTCATTAGAATTACAGGCCTATACCCAGAATAGGTTTTGTGAACATAAGAATGCTGGATAAACTTTTGACTTTTTTTTTTTTTGGTACTGGGGATTGAACAGGGGCACTTAACCACTGTGCCCATCCCCAGCCTTTTTATTTTGAGATGGGGTCTCACTAAGTTGCTAGGGGTCTCACAAAATTGCTGAGGCTGCCTTTGAACTTGAGTCCTCCTGCCTTAGCTTCCTGAGCTGCTGGGATTAAAGGTGTGTACCACGATGTTTGGCAGGCTTTTGATTTTTAAAAGTTTCAGTTTCAGAATTACAGGTAACATATTGTAGCTCGATATTTGGAAAATAATGAGGACTATCCACTGAAGAATTCCTAGAAATAAAGATAACTATAATGAATTTCAGTTATATTTTATTATGTTTTAAAATTGGTGACTAAAATTTTAGTCACTGAATCATATCCAAATAATTATTCAAAGAATTTCATACAGTATACATATTTTAGGCTTGAGAAAGAAGGTATTTTTTAAAAATATTTTTATTAATTGTTCATGGACTTTTTATTTTATTTACTTATTTATATGTGGTGCTGAGAATGGAACCCAGTGCCCCACACATGCTACACAAGTGCTCTACCACTGAGCTACAACCCCAGCCCCAAGAAGGTTATTTTTTAAATTTTATTTTACTCAATCCTTAGGATTTGTATTTGTTGCATTTTTGTTATGAACTTGCTAGAAACTTTGTTCTCAAATACTGAAATATTTCTGTGGGTATACCACATTTGATTTTAGTTATGCAGATGCATTGTTTAAGTCATCTGATATCAAATCGGACAGTTTGGAAGACCTATTGGAAAATCTGAGCTTAAAGCCTGCTAACTCCCCGTGTGTAAATATCTCTGCAACCTTGTCTCCACAAGGTAAGCTACAGATGAGTAAAGTAAGAAATAGAAGACTAACTTCAAATAAGTTATTTAAAATGTTTCAGTCTTGACCTTTATTAGAATTTATTCAAAGTGCTGAGAAAGAGTGTACTATGTATTAAAGCCATTTATATTACATTTTAACAGAAGTCTATTATCTTTAACAAATACATCAGTGTTAAAACTCTTGAACACTGACTTTTGTCCTATCAGCTGGCAGAGGTTCAAATCTGAAATGTTTTGCATGCAGATTTTTTACTTAAAATATCCTCTCAGATATTTTCTTTCCCCAAGGTTTTATTAGGTTTAGGTTAAGTTTAAAAATTTGAAAATTACATTAAAACATTAACAAAATTCTTATGCTCTTCCTTGTGGCAGTGAAAAGCAGCCTAATGACTTTGATTTCCACCCTCCTTCCCCCATCCTAGTTATGGAAACCCTGAGTAGGATAATCAGCCAATAGTTTCAAACCAGTTTTTAGATTGAATGAATCATTCTTTCTTCCGGAGTCCTTATTAACATGTTATATGACTTGATCTCTTATCTCTGACAGATTGCTTTATATAGTACAAAGAATGAAAAGAATTCCTGTCCAAAGTCTATTCTCCTACACTCTAAACAAATCTTGGATTGTTTTACTTTGTTATAAGAAAGCACTTCAGAAGGTTGACTTTTTCTTTATTTCTTCTTTTTTTGGCCACAAGTATTCTAGCTTAGACCTATGGAGACAGATATTGTGTTGAGCATATAGTAACTATTAATTGTTACCTTTCATCTTGTATTTTTTCCTATGTAGTTATTAATGAAGTGTGGCAAGAAGAAACAATTGGGCGTCTACTACAACTTGTAGACCTTCCACTTCTTGACTCCTTACTCAGACAGAAAGACAATGTACCTAAAGTTCCTCAACCCAAGAAGCAGCCTGACATGGTCAACAGCAGTAACTATCTGGATAGAGGGATTCTCAAGGCCTATGGTGACTCTCAGTATGTGGAAACACATGTAATAATTTCAGTGGTTGTAGGTTGTTTATAGATGTAGTATTCAGATAATATTTTGAATTGTATCCAGAGGGAATCACTTATGCATTGCCACTCGATATTATTAATGCTTGAGAAAAAACAAAATTTTTAAAAGATTTAAATTTATTTATTTACTTAATTTTTTTTGGTACCAGGGATTGAACCCAGGGCACTCAACCCTGAGCCACATCCCCATCCCTTTTTATTTTTTGTTTTGAGACAGGGTCTTGCTAAGTTGTTTTAGGGCTTTGCTAAGTTGCCGAAGCTGGCTTTGAATTAGCAATCCTCCTGCCTCAGCCTCTTGAGCCACTGGGATTACAGGTGTGCATCACCATGCCTGTCTTGAATTTGTTTTTTTTATATTCATTTTGTTTCACATACAACTTGCACATCAAATGAAGAAAATGATTATGCTCCATCATCTTTGTTAAAATGTAGGGCTGAATGGTCTCAAGGTTCCTCAAAGGTTTCTGGAGCAAAATGAACAAATTTGAAAAATTCTTGGAATTCTTGACTACATATGCTTTAATATTCCTCTAGAATGCCTGATAAACATTTATTTTCTAATTAACTTGTTATATCAAGGAAATATAATGAGCCGGGCATGATGGCACACACCTGTAATCCCAGCTGCTGGGGAGGCTGAGGCAGGAGGATAGCGAGATCAAAGCCAGCCTCAGCAACTTAGCAAGGCCCTAAGCAACTTAATAAGATCCTGTCTCAAAAAAAAAAAAAAAAAAAAAAAGCAGTGGGGCTGGAGATGTGGCTCAGTGGTTAAGTGCCCCTGTGGTACAAAAAAAAAGTAAGTGCTCGATTCATCAGCACATATACTAAAATTGGAACAATACAGAGAAGATTAGCATGGTCCCTTCACAAGGATGACACACAAATTTGTGAAGCGTTCCATATTAATATATATATATATATATATATATATATAAAAAATGAAAGTAATTCTCACATTTAGCTACAATTCTAAATATAAATCTTAGGGCTCAAAGGCTTAACTTCAGGTGCTGAAGGAATTAAGTTTTTTTTCTTTAAGGAAAAGGTCTATATGCTTTATTACTTTGAAAAAAAATTCTGCTTTTAGCTGGGGACTGAACCCTGGGGCAACTTACCACTGAGGTATTCCCCCAGTCCTTTTTTAAATTTTTGAGACAAGATCTCGCTACATTTCCCAGTTTGGTGATCTTCTGTCCTAGCTTTCCGAGTCACTATGATTACAGGGTGGGCCACTATGCCTTACTAAGGTTATTTTATTTTTAATTATTTTGCCTTAGCAGATATTTTTGCAGTGCAGTTAAGAAGATGGAAATGTTTGAAAGGAATACAATTTATAGATAGATCATATATAGCTCAGTAGGGAACTAGGTTGTATTGCAAAAATACTGATTTATGAGTCAGGTCCAAGATCTAGTCCTACCAGGGGTCTGAGCAAGTAACTTGGGATTCCTGAGTCTACACTGGCAATGTAAAAAGTAGAGTTTGAATTTTGATGCAATAGATAGTTCATTTTGGGGATGAGAGAGGAAGATATACTAAGCTAATTTTTAAATAAAAATCTGTGATATACAATTTAGCCACATATAAAGATAATTAAACACAATTCTTAAGAGTGTAGAAATATATCCTGGTGGCAGTGCTTGAAATGGCTAGTAAATTAGGTAGTGTGTATTTGTTTTTCTTTGCTGTTTAAAGTACTCCCTTCTCCCCCAAGGGAAGATGAGTGGCTCTCTGCTGCGATTGACTGCTTGGAATACCTGCCAGACCAGATGGTGGTAGACATAAGCAGAAACTTTCCTGAGCAACCAGACAGAACAGACATAGTGAAGGAACTTCTGTTTGATGCCATTGGCAAATTTTACAGTAGTAGAGAACCACTATTAAATCACTTATCTGATGTCCATAATGGAATTGCAGAACTCCTAGGTAAGTAAGATCTTCCTGGATTCTAGGCTTTATCTTCTGGAGGAAATAGGAAAAATTGAATCATCCTCAAAATTTGTCCCCAAATACTTCAAACTAGGAATGGATTTGTAATAATGCATAACTCATTTGGATAGAGGCTTTAACAAGCTCTAAAGTTATACAGAAATTTCTGGTTGCCACGGGAGAATACTACTTTTGCTGGAAGCTTAGGTATAAAACAGCAATTCTCTTTGGAAGAATTATCAGCACCTTCATCACCATTCCCCCCCTTCAGTATGTTCAAAATGGCAACTGCTCTCTTTCTACTAGTAAGCCATCTTATTCCATGTCTTATTGGAAATAAATTGGGAGGCTAGGGTTGTGGCTCAGTGATAGAGCACTTGCCTAGCATGTGTGAGGCACTGTGTTTGATTCTTAGCATGGCAAGTAAGTAAGTAAGTAAGTAAATAAAGGTCCATCAACAACTTTAAAAAAATTGGGGATTTCAGAGAATCCCTTCTATTTTTCTCAGATGGTAGAGTTGGATATATCAGTATTATACATATAATATTAAAGAAAAACAAGCTGTTCTACAAAATCAGGAGTTAAATTTAATGCCCTAGATTATATGACAAGGACTTAAGGTATTAGTTGTCAATTTGAGGAAAGACTGCCTTTATAGTATTGTTCATTCCTTCTAATTCCCAGTCTTGTTTTTGCTTTCATAAATAATTTGGAATAAGTGCTCTACTTAGCTTATATTGTAACTTGAGTTTTGGTCCTTTAATATAGTCATATTTAATCAGTTAAAAGCAGTTTTCCTTTCATTTTTGTAAAGTAAATGGGAAGACTGAAATAGCATTGGAAGCTACTCAGCTCTTTCTGAAGCTTTTGGATTCCCAAAATAGAGAAGAATTTAGAAGGCTACTATATTTCATGGCTGTTGCAGCACATCCTTCCGAATTTAAATTACAGAAAGAAGTAAGTCTTTTGTCTAAATGTTAACTGTATTCCATATCCTTAATATTTATGAGACCCATCTGTCAGATTATTCCATCCTCAGCATCAAGTATGCTGAAGTGGATAATAGCTATTATTAAATAATACTTCCTTAGTATTAATTTTTTAAACATGTAATTATAGACTGTGTTTTATTTTTATAGAGTGACAATCGAATGGTTGTGAAAAGGATATTCTCAAAGGCTATTGTTGACAATAAAAATTTGTCCAAAGGCAAAACTGATCTTCTGGTACTCTTTTTAATGGATCACCAAAAAGATGTTTTTAAGGTAAAACTCTGATAGTAATGAAATTGAGCTTATTTGTAATGGATTACTTATGCATAGCTTAAACTACATTTTAATAATATCTTGTCCCTTCTTTTTAAGATTCCTGGAACTCTACATAAAATTGTTAGTGTTAAACTTATGGCCATACAGAAAGGAAGAGATCCAAATAAAGATGCAGGTAATCCAAGAGATGTTATTTTTACAGTCTTCTGGAGACAAATTCTTGGTATTTATTTGAAAATAAAGTATTTTGCTGTACGTAGTTCATTTCAGCTAAATTCTAAACACTCTCCTTAGAGTATGAGAGCCTCTAATGTCAAAAGCAACTTGCCCAGAGTCAGTCGATAGTGTTTATCCTCTTCAGTGCATTTCACAAAATGGGGAAGAAACACATAAATATAAAAATATTGTTTGACTTTTCCAGTTAAATCTGAGGAATAGTCATTAACTGAACTTTTTTTTTTTTTTAAACTTAAGGGTATATTTATTGCCAGAGAATTGATCAAAGTGACTATTCCAGCAGTACACAGAAGACGACCAAAGATGAGCTGTTGAATTTACTAAAAACTATTGATGAAGATTCAAAACTGTCTGCCAAAGAAAAGAAGAAATTGTTAGGTCAATTCTATAAGTGTCATCCAAACATCTTTATTGAGTATTTTGGAGACTGAGTTTCTAATATATGTTATGTATTTTAAGAATAAATTATGTATCTTAAAGATCCAATCACATTTGTAAATTTGATTTCTATATGAAACTGTACTTAATAAATTTTTTTTATAACCTTATGTGTCAAAAACTTAAGTTATTGGTCAGATGGTGTAGTGCTGTTGAGTACTGGCTGGCATCTCTTAGGTAGTTGGTTTATAGTTATTGTGCCCAGTGCTTTATAGAACACCATAGGGATTTAGATGATATGACAAGTAGTGTTTATATAAGAATGTACTTAAAAGTGAAAAAGTCTGTAATTACAAATTAATAGACTAGTATGACTTGTGTTTTAAATGGTACTCTTTAAAGTTACAAGATAGAAGAAACAGTCTATGATAAAATGTATTTGCTTATTACCAATAAATTGTAGACAAGCAAAAAAAAAAATCTGACCACCCTAATATTTCTGAAAACGTCATCTATTTTTAAAATATTTTCTTAGACATTGATGGACCTTTATTTTATTCATTTATTTATATGTGGTGCTGAGACTTGAACCCAGTGCCTCACACATGCTAGGTAAGTGCTCTACCACTGAGCCACAGTCTCAGCCTGAAAACTTCATCTTTTTAAACTTCTTGTGGGAGATTTCAAACAGGAATGTGGGAAGAGTGGAATAATGAACTTGCCCATGTACTCATCAACCAATATCTACAATTGTCCACTTCTGGCCAATCTTGTTTAATCTATTTCCCCACCCATTTCCCCCAACAAATTTCAGATAGCATCTCACTTCCTCTAAAAAAAGTTTCAGTGACTATGACCAAAAGATAAGAACATTAAAAAATAACCACAATGTCATCTTCACTCATACAACTGTATAATTTTTATTATCAAATATGCATTTAATGATCAAATTTTCTGATGATCTCAAATGATTTTGACAGTTTGTTCAAAGAGTGAAACAACATCCATAATGTGCTTCTTAAGTTGCTCTTTATTGGTTCTCCCTCCCTCCATCCTTCTTTTCCTTGTCTATCTCTGCTGTCAAATAAACCTGGTCATTTGTCCTTGAGTTTCTCACAGTCTGGATTTTGCCTAGCCTGTCCTTTATCATGTTCCTTTGTGTCCCATATTTCTTATAAATTGGTCACTAGAGCTAAAGTTTTTAACTTTTTAAACAAGTTCATGGTTATTCTGGAGCAACTGTCACAATGTATTTGATAAAGAAGAATACAGCACAATTTGAAAAAAATTACAATGCAAATTGAAATTGTTCATCCTTATTTTAACCTTTTAGTTTATTATGAGCCAGGATTTTATATTTTAACTCAGACTTTTAATGAGAGGAAAACAAACAATGAATAGTATTCTGCTATTAAAGTAATGATCTTTCATTTTCTGGTGTAACTGATGCTGGCTAGTCTCCAAAAGGAAAGCTGAGGACTAATATTAATATTCACAATATATAATCTATGATACCAATTTAATAAAGCAAGGAAAGTCAGGTTTTCTGTATAGGAAGAAGGTGGGGTAGCACCTTTCTTTACAATTAGGTGAAAGAAAGAGTTCATGACTTAAATGTGAGCAAATTTTCATAACAAGCTATAACTGGTGAGACCAACATTGTTGGCACAACAACTGTACTATCTGACTTTCAATCTTTATTTTGCACATAATTAGCATGATTATTTGGCAACCAAACTAACACCTTCAGGGGAAGGCAGAACTAACTGTTAGTGATATTCATGCTTCTAAAAGAAGCAACATTTTGACAGAATAATTTCATGGAAAACATGATTGAAATGTTTCCCTCAAAACTTAATTAGGATAGAATAAAATTCTTAAAAAAAAAACTGGATGTTTACTAAGCATATTTAAAGTTTTAAGGCACAGTCTAATGCTACCCTGCATGCCTTAGGCAACCCTCCTGGGTTACTGGAACCATCAGTTACTGTCAGCTGTACGCCCTCATTTATTCATGATGCCTTCCTAGAAACCCATGCCCACGTGTCCACCTGATGCCTAGGTGACTGAGCCTTGCCATCACCTTAGCAGAGCAGACCAGTGCTGAGCACCTCATCCAAGGGCAGCCTCCCTACAAGCTAATGAGACTGTCTGCAAACATCAGCTTGGTCAGTTGTTCGTAAACCTAAATTGTGGGGGAGACAGCAGCGGAGATGTGATGAAAGATTTTGTGTGTTCCAGGGTGGTGACAATAGCAACTCACCTCTACAGCGGCTGCCACCTTTCTCCTCCCAATTCCTAGATAGCCTCGCCGTGAACTCCTTTTGCCTTTCAGTAGTTCTTTCCAGTCCTTGCAGCCAGAGAGCCAACTGGAACATGTATCAACGTACTTAAAGGAAATGTATTCTGAACCATCAAAAGATTATAGGTAAATCATTGAAATCGGAGTTGTATAGTCAATGTTGCTCCAAGTGAAACTTGCTTATACTAATCCTTCAAGGGAGGTAGGGGACACTTGATGGGTGGAGGTGGTTGTAGCTTGGCCACACACAAGAGTTATCCAGGAAACTTGTAATACTTCTTGCCTGGCATCACTCCCCGCAAGTTTTCAGGTGATAGTTTTGGAAGCCTCTTTGCCCCCATAGGCTAAAATGTAGTCAGGGTTGAAGAATAACAATGTTTTCTTCGTGACTCGTAACAGTTCCTGAATATTTTAAGGCTTGATTTTTTTTTTCCTCTCTTAAAGTGAACCTTCATCTGAGAACTGTTTTGTTATTTTTTTTAAAGGGAAAATAATGTGCTGATTGGTAAGTGGTTTGAGGCCATTGTATTGCACTTAGCCATCAATACTTAATTTTGTTCTAGTTACAACACGTTTGAATACAGAAGATTTATTTTAAGGCATTTATCATTTATGCCCAATTTCATTTTTTATTTATTTTTTTGAAAGAATTTTTTAATATTTATTTTTTTTAGTTATTGGCGGACACAACATCTTTGTATGTGGTGCTGAGGATCGAACCCGGGCCACACGCATGCCAGGTGAGCGTGCTACCGCTTGAGCCACATCTCCAGCCCCTCATTTATGCCCAATTTTAAAGCGTTTTTTTTTTTTTTTTTTTTAAATAAAGCTGTCACATGCTACAGTGGCATGTTGGTGCATGCCTGTAATCCCTGTGATTCCGGAGGTTGAGGCATGAAGATGGCAAATTCAAGGCCAGCCTCAATAATTTATGGAGGCTCTTGACAATTATTTTTTAGTTGTAGTTGGACACGCTTTTTATTTTATTTACTTTTATGTGATGCTGAGGATTGAACCCAGGACCTCACACTGCTAGGCAAGCGCTCTACCGCTAAGCCACAACCTGAGCCCAACTCTTGACAATTTAGTAAGACTTTGCCTTAAAAAAAAAAAAAAAAAAAAAAAGGTCTGGGGATGTAGTGGTAAAGTGCCCCTAAGTTCAATCCCCGTTACCAAATAACTGTCACATGCCTTTTATATTTCAAGATTAAGCACCATAACTATTTATGTTCCTGCAGGTTAATATTTTACTGCTGCAGGCAGAGCTATCTTGGAGCAGCGACTCTTAGCAAGGCAGCTCCACGGTAGTCACAGGCCCACTACTTGGAACCGAGGGAGACGAAGCTCTGAAACGGGCTCGAGTCAACACGATACATCAGGGAAACCACCTTTTCTGGACAAGACCTGAAACGCCCTCAGCGCTCCCCGTGCTTCTGAACGATCTGCCCGGAGCTGAGCCCTCGGGAGACGGTTTGCCCGCTGCCTTCCGTCTCTCCAAGAAGTCTTGTTCCTATGGACAACGTGCAGCAGCAGCCCCTGAAGTACTGACTCAAAAATCCAACCGGGTCGGAGCCTCGGAGACTGCAGTCTAGGTAGTGGGCGTGGTTTTTTAGCCAAAATGAGGGAAGGGGAATAAACTTAGTTACAAATATGTAATATTTAAGTTTCAAAATCCGGGCGGAGGTTTTAAATGCTATTGGCTCTAAGGATTTTTTCCATCCATTAACTGACTTCATGCCACCTCCTCAGTCTCCTCTCGAGGCGCCCCCTCGCCTGGCACCCGGCCGCGCCTCCGCCTTTCCGTATGGAAACATGGCGCCTCCCTCCGTGGAGCCGGAGCCTCCCGGCTCCGAGCACCGCCCACTGGGACCCCTTGGCCGGCAACCGGCCCGCCTCCCCGTGCGGAAATATGGCGCCTGCCGGCACCGAGCCACTTCGGCCAGCAGGAGACCTAAAATCACTCGACTCTCCGTACAAAAACATGGCGCCGCCCTGCGTCGACCAAGCGTCTCTCTGCTAAAGGCAACCCCTCCCCCTTCCACACGCTGAGGTGCGGCTGCTCTGGCCGCTGCCCACCCGAGCCGGACAGGAAGGACCGCTCGCCGCGCGGAGAGGGATGCGGCCTCGAAGATGTAGAGGCTGAACCGCCCCTGCCCGCCGCGCATCGCTCCCGCCTCCTCCGCGGCGCCCGCCTCGCCTGATTCGCGGCGGGAGAGGCAGGAGGGAGAACGCCGACTCCGCGGCAGGTGAGGTGCGCGGGCGCGGAGGCTGGCGGGGCCCTCACAGGAGGCGCGAGGTCGAAAGCACAGCATTTCTTCGCCTTCTCTCGTCGGGTCGGGGCCCGGTGATGGGTTGAGGCGAGGAGGAGGCAGGGGCCGCGGGCCGGTTGAGGCCCACCCTCGTGGCCGCCCGCCGGCCGTCCCGCTCCGCTCTGGTCGCTGGCTCCAGGCCCGCCACTCCCTCGCCGACCCAAACAGCTGTTTACAACGGAATCCGGACGCGGGGAGAGAGTGGCGCTGAGCACCGGAGGGAGCGACCCCCGGCGCCCATGGAGAGCCCCTCTTTTACCTTTTCTGCCCGGGCGGGGGGCTCTGGAGTCCGGCCGAGGCCCGCGTGCAGCTCCGACAGATGCTGTCCTTCGCGGCCGCTGCGTGGATCCTTCCACCCCCGGTTTCCTTTTTAGGCACAGTCGAGGCTGAGGATCGTTGAATGAATGAACGCACTAAGAGCGCTGGAGTGGCTCCTGGCGGCACCCTGTAGCCCTTTAATTTTGGTTAGCGTTTGTGAAAAGCTCGTGTGCCCATCTGATGGGCACAGTCCCCGTCTAATCGCCCCCACCCCCAATCCTAGGAGGTAAGTAGCTCCGCTTTCCAGGGAGGAAACCCGAGCCACACCGCTAGTAAAGAGCCAGGATCGGACCCCAGGTACGTCTGAGACCCACACCCAGCCCTCCCAGATAGACTGACTCACAGCGATGACACAGGGAGTCGTTTCTATCCATACCTCGCGGGTTATCTGTTTGAGGATATAAGGATGCAACAAATGTGGAATAGGGGGTTCTGCCTCTAAGTTCAAAATCTAGGTGAAGAGATTTTTCGTTTGTTAATAAAAACGATCACTTTTTACCGTATGGCCCCAACCCATCTTTCGTCTTCACATTTTTTTTTCTTTTTCTTTCTTTTTTTTTTTTTTTTTTTTTTGGTATGGGGATTGAACTCAGGGGAAGTCAATTACTGAGCCATATCCCCAGGCCTATTTTGTATTGTATTTAGAGACAGGGTCTCACTGAGTTGCTTAGTGCCTCACTTTTTGCTGAAGCTGGCTTTGAACTCACGATCCTCCTGCCTCAGCCTCCCGAGCTGCTGGCCCCTGCTACTTTTCTTGTTTTCATGTGCGTTGGCTTCCTCTTTTACCTCTTCTGTCTCCAGACATTTTATAACCGAAAGACATTCTACTTTAGAAAAAATTTTTTGTAGTTATAGATGGACAGAATGCCTTTATTTTATTTGTTTATTTTTATGTGGTGCTGAGGATGGAACCCAGTGCCTCCTTCTGAGCTACAGCCCCAGCCCCGAGAAATTCTACTTTCAAACATTAGTTCAAATGTCCTCTCTTCTGAGAAGGAACTAGTTTCTCCCTTTGCTTTTCATAACAGCAATTTTCATGATGCCACCAAGGCTTGAGTTTCATGATCATCCTCTGTAAGCAGTTCTGTCTCCTTCTCTAATTTGTGAGTTTTCATCCCTTTATTCCTATTTATTTATTTATTTATTTATTTATTTTTCCTTTATTCCTATTTAAATAAGCATATTTTGAGCCGAATTTAAGGTAGCAATGACTGTCTGATGTCTAGCAACCAGCCCTGTGGGAATTTCTGGGAACTGTGCAAACACTGTCCTGAGAAGAGCGCCCTGATGCATCTTAAAAGGTGGGTGGGGTTAGTTTACTGAGCATCAAAGGCCTAGGAATCTTGTTTTCGCTTTTCACTGCACAGGATGAATTACTTCGTCTTTTCTGAGCTCCTTCTCATCATGTGAAGAGGATAAAATTAGAAATGTTTTGTCCTGTCTCATACAATATGGTGGTAATATCATCCTTTGGATCTTGGAGCATTTCCAGACCCTAATAGGATTTAGCACAGTGAGGAAATGGATATTGGAAAGTAAAGTTGGATTGCAAATGGGAAAATACATTTTTTAAAACATGCATATTAATATTATGGTCCTGAAATTTTCAATTCCAGTAACATCATCCTGTTTAATGGAGGTCTCTGAAGTTTCAGATAATTATATCAAACGATTGTTCTCTCTAATGTGCAGAAGAGAGTCTGCCAAACCTCCCTAAAGCAGTTCACATTTCTTTTGATCGTTGATTACCTTCCAGGTGTATAATACAGTCTAATTAGTGTTTCTGACAATGTTTTGTGATCTTTAAGTGCTAATGTACAAATGTTAATTATTTTCAGAATTGTAAATGCAGAAAACATTTTGTCTTCTCCCTTAATTGGAAACACCCTAGGAATAGAGGAAAGGGGCTGGGGACTTAGATGCAATTAGAGGAGGCCTTTATTAACTGGCTCAAACCAATGTGTCAAGTGATATTCTAATCAGCAACTAATAAAATGAAAACCCACCCAACCACATACTTTCATGACTGTTTGCAACTTCCTTCTTTACTCATGATCTTTTTCTGCTGACTGGCAATGCATGAATAAAAATATTTGCTCCATACCTTTCCCTTAAACACTTCATAAGAGTCAACTGTACCTTTGAAGTCCCCATGTATTTTTATCCACATAATGGGATTAGGGAACCAACTTCTCATTCCAGCATATTCACTCTCAAACCTGATTATAAGCATTGTTTCCAAGTAGTTTTTCTTTCAGCTTACAGGATGAAGTAAAGAATTTAAGACTGAATTATTCCCTTTGATTAAAACAGAAGCAGGCGATTTCTAATGTTGTCATCTATTAGTTTAAGGTACTGCATTTTTGTGATGTTAGAAGTGGGACAAGAACATTTCAACCTATTACTCTGTGAGGTCCATAAATTTGATAAATTTTACCGACCTCACAGAGTAATTGAATCTGTTTAATTATTGAAGTAGAATATTGTAGTTGGATAAGATCTTAGCAGGTCTGTTTATTTTACAGACCAGAAAACAAACCAAAAAAATTAAGTGTGCCCAGAGTCACACTGGTAGTAACAGAGCTAGAATAATAACTCTTTTTTTTTTTTGACTCTTTTTTTTTTTCTTTCCTAGGAAAGTAAATAAACTTAATTGAGAATGTCTGAAAACCTTGACAAGTCTCATATAAATGAAGCAGGAAAATCAAAATCAAATGAATCTGAGAAAAGCCTGGGAGATGTTGTGGAATGTTCTGATGAAGCTTTACAGAAAAAAATAAAGTCGGATGCTTCTAACCCCCAAAGAGTACAAAGACCTCACTGTAAGCAAATTTGACTTTGACTAGAAGAAGCAATACTATCATTGTTTTCAAATGGTATTTTTATTAGGCTTTCTTGTGTATGTGATCCTGAGCAAAAGTTCTAGTAATATGATAACATTAACTACCACTTAAGAGTAGCCGTATTTTCCCAGCTGGCAGTGTAGTTGCTTATGGGTTTTCAGTTGCATGAGAAATTAAAAATTTTAGAATAATTTCCCAAATGTTTCTGTCTTTGTCTAGCCCCAGGGCATTCTGATTTCTCTGAAGTCCCTGAGAAACAGAAGGGTGGAGTGTAAATTACAACTTTCATTAAAAAAGTGTTTGAAAAGTCTGAGGCTGATTCCAATCAGGACTGTGCTTGTACAGGTTTTTTAAAAAATGTGAGTTCACCACACCCTAAATTCACTGCCTGGGGGTTTAGTTCCCATGAGGTTAAGGGGACTCGGTCTGCTGAGTCAGTGTGAAGTCATTTCAGGTCCCTGGCAGGGAGCAAGCTTCATACATGAAGGGTGGCAATGGCTGTGTGTATTGCCAACAGCTGCCCCAACTCATGTCTTTTATTAAGAATATATAAGCTTTAGAAGTGAGTCCAAAAATGAAAGTTTTAAGAGGGAGTGGTCATAATCTAAGAATGTCAGTGTTGATGTTATCTCTTTAAATTATAAATGATCAGTAATTCTGCATATTTGCAAGAAGTGCAAACATTTTGAGGTCTCAAGATGAGTTTCTTCTAAAACGATCAAAGCCCTTCCAGGGATTTATTAGTCAATATTATATTATAGCAAACATTATGGACCATGTTTTAAAATTATTTTAATTAATTTATTTTTAATATTAGGTATTGAACCCAGGAACGTTCTGCTACCAAACTATATCCCCAGACTTTATTTATTTATTTATTGAACCCAAGGGTGCTTTAACCACTGAGCTACATCCCCAATCCTTTTAATTTTTTGAGAGACATGTATTTTTTGTTTAAAATAACATTTAATTTTATGTGGTGCTGAGGATTGAACCCAGTGCCTCACACAGGCTAGACAAGCACTTTACCATTAAGCCACAACCCCAGCTGGAGAGACAGTGTTTTACTTAGTTGCCAAGGCAGTCTTTAAATTTGTAATCTTTCTGTCTCAACCTTCTTTTATATATATATATATAATTTATTTATTTATTTATTTATTTATTTTTGGTACCAGGGATTGAACCTAGGGCACTTAACCATTAAGCTACATCCCCAGCCCTTTTTTTGGGGGGGGGGCGGTGGACAGGGTCTCACTAAGCTGCTGAGGCTGGCCTCAAATTTGTGATCCTCCTGCCTCAGCTTCCAGGCCTCTGGAAATGCAAATGTGTACCACTGTGCCTGGCCTACCTCAGCCTTATGAGTCTCTGGGACTGATTGTCACACAGATTTTGATAAACTACTAGGCCAAATTGTATATAGGGAAACATGTTACCAATAGCATAATTTATGCTACATGTGATAGGCCTTGTCTCAACATGTATAATTAGAAAAGTTTTGTTTTCCTATTTTTTAAGTGAGGGAAATGCACCTATCTCTTAGGGTGGTTGTAAATATTAAATGAATTCATATAAAGTAGTTAAAACACTGATTGGCACATAATAAATGCCCAGTGACCATTAGTGGTTGTTCTTACTACTGCTGTACATATTATGTCATCTATTGCATTTCATGATGCCAGGATTGATTGTTGTAATGTAGAGGTACTATATTTGGATCTGAAATGTCCTCCATGTGTTAAAGGCTTGGTCCCAAATCTGGCACTATTGGGAGATGGTGGAAGGTTGGGCCTAATGGAAGAAACGTCATTGTGTTGATGAAGTGGGTATTGGGAAGCCTCTTCTTCCTTGCTCTTGTTTCCTGATTACTTCCTGACCATAAAGTGAACACCTTTGTTCCACATGTTCCCCTCCATGGTGTACTGCCTCACCAAAGACCCAAAGGCATGATCATGATCATGAACTGGAACTTCTAAAACTGAGAGCCAAAATAAACCTTTTTTCTTAATTAATTTATCTAGGTATTTATTACAGTAAGGGAAAACTGATTAATAAAAAAATGATGGTTTTATTACCTGTAGTTTCTGATAAAGGAGAACTTTCGTATCTTTCGTATCTTTTTTGTATCTTCAGTCATTCTTTGATTGATGGCCTTGCCTTTTGTATTCTGTCAGTCTCATGGCCTCATTCTAAATCAATGTCAATCCCAAAATAGGCCATGTTATTTGAAATTGTGTGTAGTTATGTTCCTAAGGCAAGAGTACTTATCCTAGGACCTGTGTTCAAGTTTTAGAGGATCCAGGAACAACCATATTATGCACATATGCAATTCTAGGAAGAAGGTCATGGAAACTTTCATTAAATTTTCATAGAGCTGGGTGTGGTGGCATATGCCTGTAATCCCAGCTATTTGGAAGGCTGAGGCAGAAGGATCACAAGTTCGAGGTCAGCCCTAGCACCTTAGCAGGAACCTAAGCAACTTAGTGAGACTCTGTCTCAAAATAAAAAACAAAAAGACTAGGGATGTAGCTCAGTGGTAAAGTTCCCCTGGGTTCAGTCCCCAGTACCAAATAAAGAAAAAAAAAAAGTTCTTATAAAAGTCTGCTGTGGTTGCATATGGTTTGTCCTACAGGGTTCATATTCTGATGGCTTTGTCCCCATGTAAGGATCTTGAGTTAGTGGAACCTTTGTAAGTCATGGGGACTAGTGGAAGGTGGTTAGGTCATTGGGGATGCTGCCCTTGAAAAAGATTAGTGTAGTTGTTATGGAATCCTGATTAGTTCCTGAGAAGGGGATTGTTATAAGAGAGCAAGCCTGGCCCCTGAATCCTGTGCTGACTTCCTGTCTCATCATGTAGTCCCTTCTGTACATACTCCTGCCATTGTGATGTCATCCATCATGAGGCCCTTACTAGAGCAGAACAGATGTCATGCTCTTGGACACAGACACTATGAGCTAAATAAACCTCTTTTCTTTATACAGTATCTACCTTACATATAGCAGTGGGAAATGGACTAATACAAAGGTACATACTAAAATGAGGTTCTAAGGCAGTGTTCTCAGATGTTCCTTTTGGCTTCTTGATTTTCCTCCTTGTAATAATAGATAGGTATAGAGGAATGAACCCAAAAGGCAAGACTGAGAGCCATGATTTGTGGACCAGATAAGGAGGCATCATTATCCACATAAAGTATAATATTGAATAATTTAAATATTTTCCCCAAACTACTGGATTTATAGTATCACTAAAAATCACATTTGGAATTTTGCAAATTAAGATAATTCACAAAAAGAAAGTATCTATTTTCACAAATTATAGTATAGAAATATTTTAAGTGTAGAATTGCTATTGGTAACTGGTAGAGAATACTTGAAAAAGGAAAAATGGCTGGCTTGTAAGAATAGATCAGCACTAATCTGAGATGATGATTTGAGTTCAAAAGATGAATCTGTTCTTTACACATAAAGAGCCTTAGAGTAAGCCAAGTGTGGTGCTACATGCCTGTAATCCCAGCAGTTTGGAAGACTGAGGCAGGAGGATTGCAGGTTCAAAGTCAACCTTAGCAATTTAGCAAGATCCTCAGCAATTTAGTGAGACTCTGTCTCAAAATAAAAATAAATTAATTAAAAGGACTGAGGATATAGCTCATTGGTAAAGTGCCCCTGGGTTTAATACCTGGTATTATGTATTTTAAAAAAGGCACAGTGGTACAAATAATTCAAAGAAGTTACAATTAAAAGAGCCTTAGAGTAAGGAGCAGTCAAGTCTCAAAATTTTTTTAAAAATATATATTTTAATTGTAGTTGGACACAATATCTTTATTTTTATGTGGTGCTGAGAATCAAACCCAGTGCTTCATGCATGTTATGGGAGCACTCTACCACTGAGCCTCAGCCCCAGCCCTAACAATGTTTCCTCTAAGACCCTCCACTTCTATATAATTTACTTCTCTCTACTTTCTGCTCTAGAATTTAATTACCTAGTGGCCAGTAAATGATGCTATATTTATTCAGTTTACAAACATCAGTGAATAGTTCCCACTTAGTAGTGCTTGCTGTACTCATGGGTTCTATATCTATGTATTCCATAACCAAGTATGAATTGAAAATACTAAAAAAGAAAAAAAAAGTTGTAGTCTTATTGAACACAGACAGGCTTTTATTTCTTATTCCCTAAACAATACAACAGCTATTTGTGTAGCATTACATCATCTAGAGATGATTTAAAGTATATGGAAGAATACAAGATATTTAAGTATGCAGATTTTAGAATCTGAGGAGGTTCTGAAATCAATCTCCCAAAGACTCTTGAGGGATGACATAATTTTGCTTATTAAATCAGTTAGTCTGATTTACTAAATTAAATCAGAGTTTAATTAGTAAATCCCAGTTTACTAATTATGATTTTAACTATTAAATTTAACTTACTAATTAGTAAATCCCAGTTTATTAATTATGATTTTAACAGCTAAACTTAATTTACTAATTAGAGTAAAGTATAATTAATAGCTTAAATTAGCAGAGCCCAATCATCATTGGATGAATAAATTTATAACACTGAGTTTTTCCCTTTTTTTTTATACTCCATAAAAATGGATTGGTCGGGCTGGGATTGTGGCTCAGTGGTAGAGTGCTTACTTAGCATGCAATAAGGCACTGGGTTCAATCCTCAGCATCACATAAAAATAAAATACAGATATTGTGTCCACTATAAAACTAAACAACAAATAAAGGATTGTCACTTTTTTTCCTACTTTTTTTTTATTGGTGCATTATGTATATAATGGTGGAATTTATTTTTAACTATTTATGAGTTTTTACCTTTTTTAAATTTATGAGAATTATGATGTCTTTATATAAAAAACATGTGTTTATTGAGTGCATACTATGTATCAGGGATCCAGCAGTGAATAAGGCAGTAAACATGTTGTCTCTGGCTTGATGGAACCTTCAGTCTTGGGAGGAAGACAAATCAACCATTT